TATTGCAGTTTCACACAATGTTGTATGAAGTACCTCAAAGTGATACTTGAGTAAAAGTACAAGTATCTTATAAAAATACTTTGGTAAAAGTTAAAGTCTTCTCTAAAAATATTACTTGAGTAAAAGTCTTAAAGTATCTGAAATTTTTTGTACTTAAGTATCAAAAGTAAATTTCTGACACAAAATCTACTGAAGTATTAAAAGTAAAAGTACTGAGTAAAAGTGAGCAGTTAGATTTTCCAAAACGACATTTACTGGGAGGTGACTTCTCCAAAAAAAATTTTTTCTAACAGCTTGCAGCTGTGATGGGTTGTGAACAAAATAGGGGTCAGAATGTTGTATATTTATACTTCTCATCCAACCACAATTAAATTCACTCTGTCCAGGAGATACACTTTATCAGGATAGTATTTTTAACGTAATAACAACTACTAAATGTAGCAAGTAGAAAGTACAGATAATTGTGTAAAAATGTAACAAGTAAAAAGTACGCTGAAAAATAATTACTCAAGTGAAGTACAGATACCCAAAAATTCTACCTAAGTACAGTAAAGAAGTATTTGTACTTAGTTACATTACAACTCTGCAATTATTATTAACCGATTGAACATTGCTGCTGATGAGCCTTGGCTATTTAATAAAACTTTGACAGCAGCTGAACAGATTCTCTTCAAAGTTTCTTTGTGTTGATTTGAAAACCTTGTTTACAATCTAAGACATTTCTCCACATCGCGTGACAAATGCAGGTTTCTCCCATGTGAAGTCTCGTGACTGCTACTCAATTCAACTTTGTAATCTAAAGACATGTAAAAAAGATCTTGACAAAGGTTTATAATTCAAACATATTGATTTATCTGTTTATTCATAAAAGTATTTACTGTACATTGTTTCATTTCCATTAGTACATACAGTATCTTTTACAACTGACTTAATGCACAAATCAAAACACAGTTCAGATTTTTTAAACTTTATTTCTTTAAAACAAATTCATTCTATGTACAATATAAAATAAAAAAACACAAATACAATGAAATGAAAAGAAGCACAGAGAAGAAAAAAATCTTATATCTGCCCCCCTTTTTCCTCAAATATAAACTCAAACAATACTAATCTTCAATTAACATAAAACAAAACAAAAAATAGTCAAATCCTTCTAGAACACAAATTTACATGAATACATATTATTCTGTTTCATATGTTAGCAGAGATTTGCCTGTAAATCAATATTCTGTTTATCTTAATATGTCTCGCTTACTTTCTAGTTTTGACAAAGAAAACAGTTGAAATGACAGGACACTCCACAAATATTAACTCAGTCTGACAGGTTTAGGTTAATTTTCAAAGGAGTAAGAAATTATAGGATAACTTGATTTGGATAAATGAAATACAAAATAATAAATTACAGACAAAAATAAACAAACGCAGAAACAATGTCACACATGAGCTGTAAAATGCATCTTCAGACAATTTGATTATTCAATGAAGTGATTGTTTTAAAAAAAAATGAATATCCCTAAAACAAGTCAGGCACAGCAATAGCAAGCAGGAAATACCTGCCAATGTTTAAAAAAGACTAAAAACATGCAGAACTTTTGCTCAAGACCAAAGTTCTTGGGGTTGATTTAAGATGTTTGAACATCTAATGAAAACCAGTCAAGAAGCAGAGAGGCAGGCGATAATTTTCAACATTTTTCTTTTAAAAACAATTGCCTGTTTTATCACTACATCACAAAGTCTAATGTAGAACACATCTGTATTTTTATTGTTTTTTTTTATTGTATGTCCAAAAATAGAATCAGTCTCTGTAAATTGTAACTGCTTGAACATCGCTGTAAATGTGCTTAATTGACAGTTGAGCAAATCTTTTCTTTTTTTTGGTGGCTTCTAATGTGCTGCAGTAAACCTTTAAATCCTCCTTTACAACCAGGGCAGGTGAAAAGCCCCGCCTAACTTGTGACACTTCACATGATGAACGAGGTTTCTGACCTCAAACTGTGCAGGTGAAAGATTATTTACCTGCATGGATTTTTCTGTGTTTCAACAAATCCCGTTTCCTTCCAAATGCTGCCGTACAATCAGAGCAGCCGAAAGGTTTCTTTCCACAGCGGGTTTTCTTGTGCGCTAGAAAAACATTCCTCCACCTGAACGTTTCCTTACAGACAGAGCAGCTGAAAGGTTTTTCTCCCGTGTGAAGTCTCATGTGATCGGTTAGGCTCGACTTGTACCTCATGTTTTGGCCGCAGACCGAGCAGCGGTAAGGCTTCTCTCCGGTGTGCGTCCTTGCGTGTCYGGCTAAAGCGGTTTTGCTATAAAAAGCTGCGCTACATACAGAGCATTTGAGAGGACTTACACCCGCGTGGCTTTTTCTGTGTTTCACAAATTCCCATTTGCTTGTAAACGCCGCCTCACAATCCGAGCAGCTGAAGGGGTTCTTTCCACATAGCGTCCTTGTGTGCATTCGAAAATCGTTCCTCCATCTGAATGTTTTCTTACAGGCGGGGCAGCTGAAGGGTTTTTCACCTGTGTGAAGTCTCATGTGACCCGTTAGGCCTGACTTCTGAGTGAAGCTTTGACCACAGACTGAGCAGTTAAAAGGCTTTTCTCCGGTGTGTGTTTTTGTGTGTTCTGCTAAAGCGGTTTTGCTACAAAAAGTTGCACCACAAAAACAACATTTTAGAAGTCTTTCACCTGTGTGGACTCTTCTGTGTTTCACAAATTCCCATTTACTTTCGAATGAGGCTTCACAGTCCGAGCAGCTGAAGGGGTTCTTTCCACATTGTGTCCTTGTGTGCATTCGAAAATCAGTCCTCCACCTGAATGTTTCCTTACAGGTGGGGCAGCTGAAGGGTTTTTCTCCTGTGTGAAGTCTCATGTGACCAGTTAGACCCGACTTTTGCTTAAAGCTTTGACCGCAGACCGAGCAGCTGTGAGGCTTCTCTCCACTGTGAGTCCTTGTGTGTTTTGCTAGATTGAATTTACATGTAAAACCTGCACCACAAACAGAACATTTGAAAGGTCTTTCACCCGTGTGGATCCTTGCGTGTTTCTCTAAAACATGTTTCCTTGTAAAGGTTTTTGCACAAACCGAGCAGCTGAAGGGTTTCTCGCCTGTGTGGGTTTGTTCGTGCCGTACAAAATTGCTCCTCCTTTTGAAAGTCGCCTTGCAGACGGAACAGCAGAAACGTCTTTCATCTGTGTGACAGGTCATGTGACTTGTTACGCTTTCTTTTCTTGTGAACGTTTGACTACAGACTGAGCAGTTGAAAGGTTTCTCTCCTGTGTGCATTTTCTCATGCTGGACTAAAGAGGTTTTCCATCTAAAAGTTACTTCACAGATGGAACATTTGAAAGGTTTTTCTCCTGTGTGGATTCTCATGTGTTTCACTAATGATCCATTCTGTGCAAAAGGTCTTTTACAGACTGAGCAGATGAAAGCTTTTTCTCCTGTGTGGATTCTGTTGCGTCGTAACAGTTGACACTTGTTGAGTGTTATACCACCCTCAGCGCAGCTGTAAATCTCACTACTCTTCTCACATCTTTTATCATTTTCAGAACCTGTAATGTTTCTCCCAGAGTTTAAGTCAAACTGAGCCTCACTGCTCTCCTCCCAGTTTCCATCACTTACATCTGTCTCAGAAGAATCTGAAGTTTTGTCTTTAGAATCACCTTTTAAATACTGATCTGGGTCGACGGAGTCTGTGTCCTCCTCATTCTGGATTAGATGAAACTGTGACGACTGAGGTTTCTCTTCATCCTCCTCGCTCTTCACAGGAACAGGACTGAATGTAAATTTTATGATATCCTCCTCCTCCTGCTCCTCTTTTATTAAAGGGGGTTTTGTGTCCTCCTGGTCCAGGATGGGACTGCATTTCTCAGGAGAAACCTCTCTTTTGATAATTAACAATTGCTGGACTTCTGCTGGAAATGGAAACACAAAAAATTTATTGCAAACTGTAGTTGTTTTCAAAGTCAACACTGATTCAGTCACTGACAACACCACTTGCTCATATGTGATAATTTTAATGTGTTTCTCAAAACAAATTGGAGCCTAATGACTGTGTAACTACAGTTTTTGGCCAAGCTGATAACTATATTATAAAAACTTTTGATGTAATATTTCCCAGTTGAAAGTCCAGCACTTATCTTGGTTTTTGACTGGTTATAGGCAATATATTGTCACAAGATGTAATTATTGATAACTAGGTTTCTTCCAAAACAGTCTAAATTAATCTAACATTGAAAAACAGCCACGTTTCAGCACAGCTTTAAAAATTCATGTTAAATAATAT